AGCCTGATGATTTACGGCTGCATGGCTAGTGCTGTCGCCATGACTGTGCAGGTGAGGATTTTTATTTTGCTCCAGAAAGAAAAAATCCCCAGCCTTACTGAGGATTCGAACCTGTATCTCCCGCTTGAGAGCCTAGCGTTCTAACCGTTCATCCAGCCGCTCCAATTTGCCACTAGCACCATATATCCAGTCTCAGGTAAGTAATTACTATTTCATCAGGTGCCATCTCCACAATGAAGAGTGGCAACAATGGATCTCGGACACTTCCTGTCTCTTGTCTTAGTAGTTTACTCTCTCAGACAGCCGTTCGGCCATCTCTTAACGTTTTTCTCCTATCTGTGTAATTAATACAGGTGTGGTTGCGTAATCGTTAGATTATAAGACACATGCTGCTAAAATGATTCAGGTCGTTTTTACTTTCCACTAAGTATTCTGGTACATTCACAAGGTGGTCAACCAGTTCATCATCATCGTCAATTAGTAGGTCCTATACAGGCAGTCACTTTTGTCATGGCACACATGTAAGTTTTTTTTCTCTAGCCAATTCTCCAGCCCTATGTGCTTTCATAGCCAATGTTATTTTCAGCGTCTTGTATCCACACCATGAAGGTCGACCACTGCCTTGTTTTCCGGAGACTGTACCACCGTCACAATTATCTCCAGCCCACCAAGACGTTTAATATGGTAGAAATACCTCAGCTATCAGGACAGGGTGTTGTTTAAGAGCCACTTCACCTCGATGACTAGATTGCCAACCGGGTACCTAGATCACTTTCAGAACAACGTGTCGGTAGTCTGAAATCCGAATTTTCAACCATCCAGTCTGTTGGCAAGGGTACTAGCCACTGAGCAACCTTTACTCTCATCATTCGCAAGTACAGGAATTAAAAGAGTCAGAGGATGGATTCACGATTAAAGAACTTTAGAACCATTTAGATCCTTCGATTAGCTCAGCTTGTGTGTGGCTTGACAGCAGAACTATAATGCGCGGTTAACAAGTCGGCTGCTGGCTGACTTCGTCTCTCAAGCCTCTAGAGGCTTTGTTCTGACTTCAGGAGAGTATGTGAGAAAACAAATTACCCTCGCGCATTATACAAAAATGATCTAGCCTATACAAATCCTTTAATGAGCAAGTTCACACGAAATTAACAGTATAAACTCAGTGTATAGGATTTTTTAAAAACCAAAATCTATTTTAATCATTTTGGCAAACACATGCCGAGGACACTAAAAAGACCACAACATTAGTTATATAACCATTCGTCTCATTTGGAATGTAATTTTTCGTTATTTGAAGCCCCTTTTGCCGCGGGCCCTGAATATTGCCGGGCCATAAATATGGCCAAACGGCTGAAACTATTTCTGAGACATCTGCATCACCAGGTGTTTATCGCCTGTGTGATGTCCAGGTGGGGGGGGGGGGGGGGCAACAAGAGAGAGAGAGAGAGCGAGAGAGAGAGAGAGCGAGAGAGAGAGAGAGAGAGAGAGAGAGAGAAAGAGAGAGAGAGAGAGAGAGAGAGAGAGAGAGAGAGAGAGAGAGAGAGAGAGAGAGAGAGAGAGAGAGAGAGAGAGAGAGACCAACTTGGCTAAGAAATGAGAATCAATCATGAAATTTGCTTTAACGAATCTTCCAGAAAACTAAAGAGTATGCACTTTTGCAATATGGTCAAAACAGTTCAATACAATATTCGCAGACAATCAATAACCACGTTTCCCTATTCTGTAGGGTTCTGGAATGTTAACTTAGAATGTGTGGGCTGCTTTACTGAAAGATAAAACCGCTTGAAAGAAACGGAACGGAATCTGAAATAATGAAATAATTAAATAATATTTTACATAAAAGATTAGATCAAATGTAAGGAAAAAAAAAACTTCTTCTCTAAGAGAACGATAATTTAAAAGCTATAAATTACAGCTGCAATGAAAAGCAAAATAAGTCAACATTTTGCAACCTCACATGCGAATAACGAAAGAACTTATTTCCACGACTTGGCGAATACTGAGCACTTGTATAGGCAAATGGGCACGAAACAAGGAAAGTAATCACAATCATGCCGGAGGTTTTTACTTACTCAAACATTTCCCGATAACCATGTTTTACTCTGGAAGCCGCCGTGGTCTAGCGGCTAGACTCTCGCCTTCGGATAGGAAGGTCGTGGGTTCGGGTCCTGATGGGGTCCATACTTTTTTCAAAAATGACCTTGTATCCCAGGTTGATCCAGCCTTGAGTGGGTACCAGGTATAGTGCTAGGAATTAAAAGCGGCCGCCGTGATGCTGACCACATCACCCAGCAATTATATAGGTCTAGCCCTATATACCCAATACGCCTGAAGACGTGGAAAAGGGTCCTATAACTTTTTTTTTTTTTTTTTTTTTGATTACTTTACAAGCTTTGGTTTGGTCAATTTGCAGAATTTTTTTCTTTTTTTAGTTTTAAGTCTTGTAGAGGTTGAAACTACTGCTCACCGGACCGGTGTTCAAGTTAGCTAGCTATCGAAAATCATCTTAGCTTGATAAGTCATATCTTGTTTTTCCTGTCGTTAACGTGTTCTGCTGGCTCAACAGGTTAGAGCTCTTGGCTCTACTGCTTCTTTTTCAGCGATCAATGTTTGCCCTGCATCTATTCAAATAAAGGTCATAAACAGAACGGTGCGCTTGAGGTCTTCACCGGTGCCCCATATTGCATCTTGTAGGATCGCTCCAGTGGGCCAGATTTCTTCTATCTTACCAGCAGTCCTGGCAATCCTATAAGACGATTTTGTTTTGGTGAGCCACAACCACGCGCAGTAGAATTAGTAAGACATCCATCCGATTTAGGTGTGTTCTGAGTTTTAGTGTCCCATTCTCAGCCTGAAAATTGTGGTACTTTTTTTGTTCTGCCAAGCCTGTTCATACTGTCATGCTCTGATCTGTAATTGTAATTCTTCTCTTTCCAGTTGGTCTTCACAGATTGCTTTAGGAGTGTCTTTGCCTCTTTTAAAGCTCTGAAGTGGGTGTGGTTGCTCTAGCTTCCCAGCAATCTTTGCAGGCTGTTTTGCCATTTCGTTTCCCTCTCTATTACAGTGTTCCGGTATCCACTGAAGGACTAGTTCGGTTCTTGTAGACAGCATTATGATGTTTTTGTTTTCTAGATGATGCTGTCCCGTTTGGAGCAGGAGATGACCAGAAGAACCGATTCTGAGTCAGTGAATATAGCAGTTTTATTATTTATTACTGCTAGATTGTTGAAGGTCTGCAACAACTAAAAGAAGGGCAGGTGCCTCTGCTCTGAAGTTCGTGGAAGTTTCTCTTGGTGCTGTTGATCTTATCTCTGGGCTGCCATTTGGGTGTTCAATGTAGATTCTATTGTCTTCTTTTTTTTGCAGCATGTTTAGAGCATATGTGAAAACACGTGTCCAAATATTAGAGGATAACTAATTTATATATATATATATATATATATATATATATATATATATAATATATATATATATATATATATATATATATACAGAGTTAAATAGTTCTTTGTTCTGACTCAGACTTTTCTTCTTCTTTTATTTTTTTTTAATTTTTTATAAAGATTATCCGTGGGACATCCAGAGCTGTTATGGTTAGGTCCAGACTGCTCCCACCTCCATGGTTCTGGTGTTAGAGGTTCACACATCATTAGGTTGATGTTGTTTAGTATATTTGTATATGCTATCTAAAGGTTTCTCGTGCAAGATGACTTGCACTCGTTCTTAACATTCTTTTTTTATTATCTCTTTAAACTGTCGGTGCAGTGGATGGCTTGGAAATCAGCTGAGCTTTACAAACTGTGTGAGATTTGTGTATTGTCTAAGAAGTTCGAAGGGTTTTCAGCTAGCAATTTCTCCATTTCCTTTATAGATGTGTTTCTCACTGTTCCAAGTGTTATTTCTAAGCTTATATTGTGGACATTGTCAGCTTTTCCTAAACTGGTTTTTGCATCTACAGCCCAGAAACTCGAGGCATGTTCCATAATCGCTCCAGTATAGACTTGTTTTAGTATTTTTGTATTGGCTGCTCAGGAAGTTCCAGCCATTTTTTCTTTTGATTATAGCAAGTTATTTATATGGCTTTTGACTAACTTTTTTTTCTATGTCTGGCTTTCAGGTGAGTCTGGCTCTCGTGCAGGAGACCCAAGTTAAAGTACTCGGTAAAGTTGTATGTTTCTTTCCTGTTGTGGACAAAATGAAAAACCTAAACTGCACAGTCCCTGGCGATAGCTATGCAATGCGTCCCCAAATCTTCAGGCTCAAAGCTTCTCCTGCCCGTACAGACGGTAAAGGCAAAGTTAACGTCCCTTATGTCAAGCAAAAATCAAGACAAACAGAAACAAGCACGCATTAAAGAAAACTGACAGAGAGCGAAGACTGCCCAAATTATTAAACCACAGTTTATAGGGCAAACAAAATTGTAATTAATGGGGATAGAAGTATTATGCATTGGCATATATGTTTCATCTATGTCACACACATATACACACACACACATACATAAATCCGTGTGTGTCTTATTTTATATGTGTATATAGCTTTATATGTAACACCAATTTATTTGCAATCATCACAAAGTGTCTAAAATGGTATCAATGCTCACCATAAAGTGTCTGCTACAGTAGATTAAAGTAGAGGACGGGAGAATAAGTTTCTTTCACTATTCCGGGCAAAGCCAGGCAGTTCAGTGGAGCATGAATGTGTGTATATATATATATATATATATATATATATATATATATATATATATATATATATATATATATATACATGCATGCATGCATGCTCCACCAAACCCCTTCACACACAGACAGTGAGAGAAACTAATTTCCCAGGCAAAACAGTGTCTCAGGTCCTGCCCACGCAATCACTCAGACAATTAATGTTATTAAACTGCATTCCGTGCATAGATTAGCATGGGGTCGGTTCCCTAGCAAGTGGCCAGTGAACCGATGCAGCAAGACGACTCTTCACAGAGGCATCCCTTTACCAACCTATCTCTAGGTCTGAATGCTTCGTTTCCAATAACCATTCAGCAAAGACATTTCCCTGGAACTGGCAACCGAACATGTCATCATCTGAAGAAAATGGCAACGGAATTTTCGCGCGCTCAGAAAATACACATAAAAGTTCACTGCATGAGTGGAGTCACACAAGAGATAAGCCAGCTGGTTCATGAGATACTTGGCGGCGTAAGCCCGGGTCAAAGGTGTGACCTGCCAGCTGGCGTTAGCCACATGGAAGGCACATAATGGAAATAAGAACACCACAAAGACAAGCGTAGAAGTAAACAGCATTAACATTATCTGTCGCTGAACTGAAACATAATAATTAGTCTGCTTATTTGATGTCTGACTGTACGTTTCTCCCATTGAATGTCGTATTCGAAATGATTTTCTGATAACCAAAACTATGAGAAGATTGCACATGGCAAGCACCAGAAATGGAATAAAGGCAAACAACGAAATATTTGTCCAATAAACTATTAATAACAGTTTAAATACGCTAGTCTTTCTGCTGAATTCGCACAGTCTGTATTTCTCGTTAAATGAAAAGACCCACAGGATGGGACTATAAGCGCCAGCAATGACAGCTCCCACCAAAAAAACGGCGAAAGACGACGTTTTTGAATTCAAATATTTCTTAATTTTTAGGGGGTACCTGACAGCTACGAGACGCTCAACTGCCATAAGCACTAAAATCCAGTTGGCGAATGTTGCTAGGAAATTTCCTAAAAAGTATAAAATTCTGCATCCGGCAACTGCTATGTTCACCTGGTTTTGATTTAATTGGTATACGACTGTTTTCACCAAAATTGCCAGGTTGTCCACGAAGGCCAGCAGAATAACGTAAAGTGTGAAAGAGCCAAAACTTCGGGCTCTTGTGATGGTGACGATTGTGGCCATGTTACCAGGAAATCCGATGACCAGAATCACCCACAAATAATACTTGTTAATAAAGAAAGCCACGTTTATGATGTCGTCATAACCACTTTCTGTGACATATTTCGTAATATTCGAATAAACATTTATCACAGTTTCCTGTTCCGTTATATTGTAATGCATTATTGCATGTTTGATATTAGAAGGCGGCACACGAGGGCTATTTCATTTTCTAATATTAACTTCTAATTCACCTTGAGACAGCTTGAAAGGTTTCAAAATTGCTTCCAAATTTCTCAAGCTCCGCTAAAAGTGACTTCAAACATTGAGACTCTACTTGTCCAGACTATTTAAGGTGTGTGACTTGAATTCCGTTTCTGAATTTTAATTTTTAATTCACGTCACACAACCTGAAAATGCCCAAACTGGTCCCAGATGTACCAAACTCCATTTACAGTAAAGTGACAATCCCAAGTCCCGATTATATAGCATGTGTGGTTAGTATTTGCATGCAACATGTTTACAATTAAATGTATTCATAAGCTGTTAGACGATGGAATTCAGCGAGGAGCTTCAAATAACAGCTGCCATTCCAGTCCTTGGAAAGTAAAGACGGCCGGCGTAATGCTGACCACATTACCCACCGAGTGCCGATTGGTCTGTAAAAATATGGGTGCTCTTCCTATATGCCCGATGCCCCTAAAGGCGTGTAAAGGGATCTTTACTTTACTTTACTTATTCAAGACATAAAAACGTACATTACAAAATTAAGCCACTAGTCAGTGGATTCCTTGCGAGTTGAAAGTTAGCAGAGTAATGTAATGTTTAAAACAATTGATCACTTCTGCACAGTTTTAGAGAACATATATAAACTGTTGAAGTTAGCCAGATGATTGATCACCATGACCCAGGTTCAAAGGTCACATCGCTGTGGCCCATGTTGTTCATCTGAATTGACACATGTGACGTAACACTGCTATCTACCTCAATCACAAGCCACTAGAAAGTTGATTTTTTTTTTAGTTGTTAGTTAATACAGTATCATAATGTTTAGATGAACTGATCACTTCTCCATAGTTTTATATTCTATTAACTGATGACGTTATAGAGATGGTTGACCCTGTGTCACAGGTACAAAGATCACATCACTGCTGTCCACGTCGTTCATCTGAATTGACATAGGTGACGTAAATCTGTTCCTTGCATCAATCGCCAGCTTTTCTGATGCTCACCACTACTAGATTTTTACCAATTATTTGACGTTCCCTGTCATAAATGTTGGCCAAAGACTTGTATATTTACAGATGTAAATATCGCAGAAACTGACATCCTGATGATATGTCTGAGAGGAAAGTGGTGGCCGTTGTTTCCTTCAATCAAACTGCGATTGCTTGAGTTCTTACCCGGAAATGTCTGATCTTGAGTTCAGATTCCTCTTGTGTTTCTATGAGAAGTGGAATTTCAAACGGATCTGCAAAAGGAAAAAAAAACATAGACTGTTTGTACATTGCATGAACACGTATATACAACGTTAGTTGTTAAACAAGGTTATCTAGTATTAATACTGGAATCACACTCACGATTTGCACTGCTGAAAAATCATCTAGTCTGAAATTACTGAATTAACATACAAATACAGTTTACACACAGGGATAATAATTTTTGTCGAGGTCTTTGTGGAGATGTGAGTTTAGCAGTTTACCTCGCGCTCTGAAGGTTGTGGTTTGATTCCAGGCACCGTCGTTCAGTTAACACGTACATGTTTCGAATCTGCTGAGCTCATGTTTTGTGCTAAGGTCTCTGAACTTCGGGCATAATGGGAAAGTAGGATTAGACCTATATTTTAAGATCAATCGTTACTCGGTGGGTGACGTGGAAAACATCACGCCGGCCGCGTTTGCTTTTCTTGATTGCACCTGGTACCCACTCAAGGTTGGGTCAACCTAGGAGCCTAGGTCATTTATGAAAGTCCAGCTCTATCAGGGCCTGAGTACACGACCTTCCTATCCGCAGGCAAGCGTCTAGCCACTTCAACACGGCGACTCCTCTTTCAGGCCCAGCCAGTTCTTAATTCAGTCTATCCTAAAATATGTGTTCCTTGGGGCAACAATTGTTTAGACTCACGGAGCAGAGAAATACAGTTTTGTGACGAGTTATAGAAACAATTGACAAAGAATAAGTTAACATAACAGATAATAACACATAAACAATAAAAAATGTTTACCAAGTAAAGAGTAACCCACTAACGTATAGGAAGTTGTTTAGTACCGAAATAGTTTTAAAATGTGCCGTCTCCATAATGGAAGTAGACCACAATGTATTCACTGCTAATTATAGGAAATAATACATTGGCGAGGTTCCAGTTACTTCCAAAGTCTTCGTGGGTAGCCAGTATCTCCGCAAATATTGAATGTTTTTATCAAGATTCTTCTCTAGATCTGTTGTATTTTGTGCTTCTTCGGTTACGCACAACAGTCTTAACTGTAGAAGGGGTTTCCTGACCAAGGGACTCGCGACATAAGTGTGCCTATTTCACCCTATAGATACATAAGGCTGACCCAAGTTCCCAATGCAGAACAGCTAGTGTGCTACACTGCGCGAAAGATCGGACATCTACATCCTTGGATCTCTCTAATCTTTGTGTACTCCTATGCACCGCGAAGCGGGAGACGTATTTAAATGGGACGAAACCCGGTGCAATGAAGTAGTCTACCCTTTAAAAAGTCTGTATATACAAAACCAAATTACCCATTTTAAAAATCAGTTATTATCACTAAATGCTTTTAGACTCCGATGGGCGATTATGATTCTACATGTCATTCAGTTTCCAGTAGCATGTATCTGTGATGAGGTGCTTTGCATGGTCCTCACGATTACATAGTGGCAAGCAGAAAGTCCGTGCAACAAGGGACAGCACGAGATACTTATGCCTAGTCGAGGAAGCGAGGGAAAGCCCGAGCTAGCCTCGTGGTCAGTCGATCATCAGAAGTCAGGAAAGACGGTTGCTGTAATTGAAGATGTAGTTTTTATGTTGTGAATGGTTAGTGTTCGAATATGTCGCGAGTGAAATAAATGTGAAATAAATGGACCAGAATAAACTGACAGAATGTACAAGGGAGCTGAGCGGCGTTTGTGTTGTCAACCCTAGACGTTAAAGTCGGTGTAAACCAAGGTTCATTCAAGTCAAACCACGCTTCATTCCAAGTTGAATAAGAATCATTACAAGTGGGGAGGTTGTTCGACGGAAATTCGAAACCACGCGGACCTCAGTCATAGGAAATTCTTTCAAGGTAAGACAAACATGCGGAAAACAGTGTACGATACAACGTTTTCACCCGAGCAGAGCCTATAAACACAGAAAGCTGCGACTGGTCAGCTGGCGACCAATGAAAAACTGTGTGTCATCTACGCCCTGCCACACACCGTATCACTAGGTTTTGTGAATTCAGGAAGTTTCGTGTTCACCAAAGCTACACATCTTAGATATTTCAAATCTAGTTTGTGAATTAAATCAGGTTTGTGAACAATATTGTTTCGCGGAAACTAGCCGACTATGAACTAATTTTATTTACAGTTACGATAAGTTTTCTTACCACGGTGACATTTTTGCATCAATTGTGCGTTTATCAGAATGGCGTCTAAAAGGTTGGTAAAAAGTAGGAACACTTTGTCGCAAGTATCTCCAGCGACAACAATGAAAGATACATCGATAAGAAACCAAAAGACTAATATGTGCATATTCTGTAATTACCAGCACAGTTCTTCAACTATATGTGACAAGAGTCCTAAGTATAAAGACTATCTAACTGATTTGGTCAATAAAAAGTGGCAAAATAAACAAAATAACAACCTTAAAAAGTGTCACTTTTGTTTGGCATTAGGCCATGTGGTAAAACAATGCGTAGGCAAACAAATGCTAAGAGACAAGAAGAGATTATGGTATGCAAAAACTAAGTCAGAAAGAATGGATGCAGAAGCGTTTACATCACCTACTCTAGATTGTTCAGTATGCGACTGGAGGAAGAAACAGGGAAAAACAACAGAGCCACATACAATTTGGATAGGAAAAAGCCAATTGATATGACCAGGAACTAAAAAGATAAAGAACGAAATCGTAATTGCAGAATTAGAATCCAGCAAGAGCAATACGAGCAAGAAAAGTGAATCCAAAAAGACAACAGCTACTGAAACAGTGAGTAAGTCCAGTTCAAAAACTATGGACCTTGGTCAGCAAGCACAAACTTTTCCAGAAATGAAATCTAAATCTGATTCAGCTAAGAATCACAATCAAGGAAAAAGTGAAAGTGAAACTCAAGGTATGAAACAGGCTGACTGTGAAACAATAGACAGACAAACTGTAGATAAAGAGTTCAGATATTTTGATAATGATAGCGGCATACCTGCTGATAAGATAAGGATGGCACTAAGCCGGAAAAATCGAAGTAGAACAACTAAATGTCTTATTAACAACAAACCAGGTCAAATGCAACTAAATGGAGAGACATACTTCAATATAGTATCAGATAAAATGCTAAAACCATCAGATTATAGTGGAGAACTTGTATATTATTACAGTGATGAAGGACTAGTACAGCTACCAACAGCATATATATATCTAAAATCACCATGGATGACCAAGCCAATGAAGGTCTTAGTAATGAAAGACATTTCGACAGACTTGATTCTAGGAGATCTAAGAGGTATCAGTGACTGTTCTGAAGAAGATATAAAATTCTGGGAA